TAGCTTTGTGCTTGTTGTAACCTCTCCAACTCTCTTTATTATAATAAAGAGAATTAAACTCATTTAAGAGTCCAATGTGGGAGTGACTCTTGACCCTTCAATTCCCACAACTAACGTTTTACGTGCCCTTTTATGGCTAACTTTAACAATTTATTTCTCACTCACCGAAAATCAGTTTTGAGAAAGTAAATATACCACGAGTATCTACTCGGAACGTAAAATTTTTTTACAATATTTAATTCAACTCAAATTAAATATTTGGCCATAAAAAATTCAGTCAAAACCGGGTCAAACCCAAGTTTTATAACTGATTTTTCCAACAAATATTTGGATTGTTGTTGAACTGCGGCGGCACCCTGTTCTTTTATATTTCTGTCCGCGATGAAGATAGATTTCAATGCTATCATATTTGCTTAAATGTTAAATATGCCAGTTTTTCTTATTTTCATACGTTCTTGTGTGTATAAATTAGCTTAAGGACACTATTGATAATTGGAGTTTTATTAATAATCATAGTTTAAGTGAATTGTTGGTTAGAGTATTAGCTGGTTACATATTTGGTGTTAATATTCCTGTCATTATGGGATGAGATTTATAATTGTTAATTTTCAGTTAAAGTAGTGAATTTAGGTTCTATAACTGCCATTTGTTTATGTAAAATGTAGTGAGTTTAATTCTTAAAGGCTTTCTCGTGAGTCATATATATGTGTGTGTACCAGAGTTACTGCTACCTTATTCTTGGTATAATTTGATACATTTTAGTAGGTAATGTTTAGGAATTCAACTGAAACTGGTCTGATGAATAATTGTTGATTAAGTGACGACATGTTGTTTGTATTGGTTAAGTGGTAAAATACTTTCTATATTAATTAATTTAATTGTTGAAGCATTTTGGGTAATGTCTAAATCACGTTATATGTAATTGTTTGTTTATCCTTCATGACAAGATATTGTAAGCTTGCGTTGTGATTTAGAAAAGTTATGTGATTTCATTTATTTGTTTAGACAGAATTATGTGCTCTTATCTGCAGTACGTGTTATATGTGTTTTAAAGTGCTGTTTTGCGTTTCAATCTACACCGTAATAATAAGACTTAATAATAAATGTTGGTTTTTGAGGAGTTGAGCCTCACCAACCTACCGAGCTATTTGTGTGTAATATTCTTCTTCAATAACCAGGTGGGTTTATTTATAAAATGTGCTATGCTTTAATTAATTGCATTTGTTGTGGTATGATCAAAGTGTTAGTATGGACCATGTAGCCTTCGATGTGAGTTGTACCGGTCGTCAAACGGTTATCCCCGTAGCTATAGAACGTATCTTCGGGTAGTCTCCCTTATTTATGTATGGCAGTCAGGGCGTGAGCCTTGGCTGGTGATCCTCGTATGTAAGGCCAAGGCGTGAGTTTTGGCATTCGGGGTGGATTTACTCCTGTTGGTTGGGCATCGATTGTAAGACCCGAGGGGCATTTCGATACGTGTATCAATTCAGTGGTCTATTGGTATATGTGTGCACATGAGGGTTGACTCTGGGATAGGAGATGAGATATTAATTGTTTTATGTTCATATTGTGACCATACCTTTATTGTTTATGATTATTGAATATGGATTACTGCATAGTGGTGAGCACCTCGAGTTTTCAATTGTGCTCATCCCCACCTGCTCTTCATTGATGCATGTTAGTACTCGCTGGCACGACAAGAGGAGGCGAGTGGTGGTCATGTTAATGTTTCTGTTTCCGCTGTTTGAATTGTTTTATGCATTTCTAAATTAAGTTGATTATTGGATTATTGATAGGGAGTGTTCTCTCTATTATTTATGAGCTGATGAAACCCAGTTTTGGGAGATTGATGTTATTTATGAACCCAGTTTGTGTGTTGACCTGATTTTAGACCCGTTTTTGGGAGTTGCAATTATGAAGTCATTGAAAATGGTTTTTCAAATAGTAGCGCCGCCAAAATTTTATGAAATAAATTTTGAAAAATTTATTCTAAATTTCATCAAATAAAAGTGGGGCGTTACATTATTATTATTATTATTATTATTATTATTATTATTATTATTATTATTATTATTATTATTATTATTATTATTATTATTATTATTATTATTATTATCATTATTAGTATGTCGTGTGTGGGAACATTAAATAAGCAGTAGCAAAAAACATATGAAAGCCATGTAAAACCCAAACAACCCACTTACAATACTATAAGTATTATTAATCCCCGAAACAGTTTAATCCACGCGCTGAATAGCACCACCACCACCACCAGCCTGCAACCCGATATCGTAGACAGGCGTCATATTGGGATAGAAGAGACCGTAATGCCTCTCGGTCTCCGGGCCAGGCTTTTGGTCCTCATTAAAGAGTGCAAATATGTAAACGTCGATTGGGTCCGACGGCCTCAAGGGAGTCCCCTCCTTCTCCTCCACCCGTTTCAACAGATTCCCATTGTACAATCTTGCGTTCTCCAACGAGGGCCCTCGTCTTATTCTTCCTTGTGAAGGCCATCCAGTCTCGGTCCAATAAGTATGTATGCTCTTGAAGCCCGAAGCTTCTTGGGCCGAGTTAACTGCGTCCATCTGTGCATACAACATATTATCATAATGTAAGTTGGTGATGGGATCTGTCTGGCCCGGGTTGGGCTCAAAAAGCACGTACTCCAACGACACGTGCTCTGGGTCATCCATGTATGCAAAGTAAGGGTTAACATTGATCAAAAATGGGGAGTCCGTTTCGGAGAGGAAACCCAATATGCCGACGAGGTAGTCCAAGAGTTCAGACTTGAAAGTGCCCAACGAGGGGGGAAATGTGACAGCCATGATCCCAAACGAGTGTGCAGTGCTCACGTAGATTTGTTGGCTCAGGCCAAGGTCCGCAAGAGCTTTTTGGACATTTTTCATTGCAGGCAGAAGGGAGATCATCATCTTAATGTCTTTACCAGTGAGGACCTCGTTGCCGATTGCTATAATCTTGATATTGGTTCGGTTGGTGTAAGGGGCCACGTTCTTTTTTACCCAATCCTGGGCTTGGGCCGGGTCGGTGAAATTCTCAATGTACTTGTTTTCGAGTCCGATTATGAGTTCGACACTTGTGTTGGCGAAAGCCGAGAGAACTTCTGGGTCGGCATCGTAGATTCTGACATGGGTTATGTTGAGAGAAACGATGAAGGAAGCCACACGTGATGGCGTAGGGAGGTCGTCCGCCACACGCCCATAGTCGACTCCTATGCGGAAGCTGTGGGTGCCGGTCATCAATGAATCTGGAGACAATTACTACGATGAATTAAGTTTGTACATATATCTATATGGCTAATTCATTGAGTTTACTTTTATGTTTGAAACACTTTCTTTCTTCTATTTATTATTTATGGCTATTTAGTTTTACAAATTTGCGGCCTAAGCGTTAGGCATGTTAGACAAGATTAGTATCTTATATGGTCTATGGAAATTGAGAGCCCTATACATATACTGTTTTATTTTTTAAAAAAAAAAAAAAAAAAAACTTAAACTAAATTGTTTATATGGAACATTATACTTGATGTGTAAGTATATAAACGCAAACATAAGCAACAAATAAATGTAATTTTTTTACTATTATTATTTTAATTATTATCATTATTATTATTATTATTATTATTATTATTATTATTATTATTATTATTATTATTATTATTATTATTATTTCTAAACACCGCACCTTTTTTACGCCTCCTTTTGGACCGTTTTTCTCCTGACATTCTTTTGTTTAAACAAAACAACTCTTACTATCATTTTTTTTTTAAATTACGTTAGAATATAAAAATTATTATTTTAAACATTAGAATATTATTATTATTTTAGAATTTAGAAATTATAATGTTATAACTTATAATTATTATTTTGTAGAACGTATTATTATTATTACGTTAGAACTTAGAAATTACTATGATGTAAATTAGAATTGATTATGTTGTTATTATAATGTTTTAACTTAGAATATTATTATATAAATTAGAATTATTATCTTATAGAATTTATTGTTATGTTGTTAGAATTTAGAAATTTATATGTTATTACATAAAAATTTCTAAGTTCTAACATAATAATAATTAAATTCTATCTGATAATCAATTATAATTTATAATATAATAATTTCTAAGTTCTAACTATAAGATAATATATAAATTCTAATTTATAACATTATAATATTTAAATTCTAACATAATTCATATAATAAATAAAAATTTGATTGGTAAATAAAAAATCTCGTGGCTGGTCAACGATCGTGGCCAACCATGTGCCTGCTAGGCACGGTGGCGGTTGACCGTCTTCGCTGGCCGACCACATGGTCGGTCACAATTGCCTGTCGGCCACACTTTTTTTTTTAACCTTTTGGAAAATATGCTAGAAGCAAAATTGTCCAAAAGAAGTATTATGCAGTAATTAAGGAACGATGAACAGTAACACCCATTATTATCTCTAACACTTGTCTTACATAAGTTTATACGAAAACTAATTAAATACAAATGAGTTAATAAAATAAGATAATGGCAATAATGAATTCAAATATAAATCACATTATTCAACGACCAAGGGTAAATTTTAAGATTATTTTGCAACTGAGTTGTACATGATGTCTATAGTTAAAATACTATTTGTAATAAGAGAATCAACATTTCTCATGTAACACCAGAAATCCCAAACTTTCACCACTAGGAAAATCGGAGTGAAAATAATTTGTTGAAAAAAGTATTTTATTACAAGAACAAACCTGAAAAGAGGATGATGAGAACAAGAACCCAAAAAAAGATGGCCATTGCTAATAATATGTTAAAACTAGTTGAACTGATGAGGTTCTTGTTTATTCAATGTCCCTATATATAGAGGCTTCCATTCAGTACACTTTCTCATACACACCCAAACAAAAAAATGTGAAATCGTACTAATAGTTTATAGTCTATCATTTCATGGAAGCAATCATGACTTGATGGCCTCTTTCTCTATAATTTAATTTGTTACCTTCAGTTTATTAATTAGTTTATACATGTAAGTATTTGAAGATTGATATTATACATGTAAGTATTAGTTTATACATGTAATTATATTATACATGTAAGTATTTGAAGTTGGAATCTACATTGGACACTGAAGCCATCCGAAAGTAAAAAGGGAAGTTTTGTTATCTTGATTTCTTTATTTCCTTAATTTTATTTATTTTAACTTTTTAATTTGTTTATTATATGAACTTGAGACCGAGAAGGAATCCACAAGATATTTTTCCTATGGGACAGTCGCATGTGAATTAAAGAAAGAGCCCAACTTAACATGCAAAGAGATCAAAGCTGTAACACCCTGCCTAGACTTACTAAAATCAGAGTAAATTTTTCGCGCTATAAAAGGCAAGCTCTTATTTGATTTTCAAAAACTCATATTAATTTTTCAAAAATACTTTAACTTTAATATACGGGATGCTACTCAACTTAAATCTTAAATCTTTAATATTTAATATCTTTAAACTACTAGGCATGCAACTGAGTATAATTCATTACTCTAAACATCTCAGGATTTGAAATTTTAGATACTGAAATACTGAGTGCGGAAGCAAATGCAAGCATGCATGAACAAAACATAATAACTCAAACACGTTCAAATATACATGACATGTTTACTAATAATATCCTTGCTATGACCACCACCACATCATCGGCTCACGCTCTACACTCGACGCCGTCACCTGAATAATGGTTAGTGGGGGCATGAGCATAAATAATCCACGTGCTCTGCTGGAACCGACACTGAAATATACAACTAATATAATAACATATGATGGCATCAACATATATGCAAGTACTTAATGGGTCAGAAAAAAAGGATATGATGATGAACATTTTAATAACAGATTAGGCATCCATCCTATAAACACTTAAATCGGCAAACTACCTATAGCTGCTACTTAGCTGACTGCCTATAACTGCTATTCAGCCGACTGTCTATAATCGTTGTTCAGTTGACTGTCTATAATTTCTGCTCGACTGGATAACTATAACTGATGCCCAACTGTCTACTATAATGGGTGCTCGACTGGCTAACTATAATTGCTGCTCAACTGACTAACTCTAACAGCGACATCACGAACTAAACATACATCTGATATGATAGCACATCCCAACCTCAGCATACATCTAATATGATAAAACACATCGCAACCTAAGCATACATCTAATATGATAGAACACATCACAACCTAAGCATACATCTAATATGATAGAACACATCACAAATGTGTATAAATAAGTGTATTGTCTATAACTGCTGCTCAACTGACTATCTCTAATAGCTGCTCAACTTACTCAATATAATTGCTGCTCAACTGATTGCTTAACTGGCGAGAAGGACACGAGTTCTTCACGCTCACGATAAGCAATTGTAGGACCTAATCTATAGGTCGTTGCCCATATTAGGGCAAAACTAACCCTTATGCACTTCTTGTTAGAGGTATGCTGTAAAAGCGATGTTTTGCAGTTTCTATCAATTCCATTTTGATCTGGCCATCATGTTTCGGTCAAAGTACATATGTTTACAGTTTATTTATTATGCAATACATACTCCATGTCTTATATTGAGGTAGTGTTGTTCGAAGAGTTTCGAACAGAAAGATCACCTATCGGTTCTTTATAAGACTAAACTATTCGTTCACAGTCTAGATTGGCAGTGAGAACCCACTTGGAAAAAGACTGTAGTGTATTCTCGATTCAGTTGGTCTTTGACTGAAGGATTACACTAGCACTTATGTTAAGTGTTGAACAGGACCACGGAAGGATAAGGATATGAGACTCACTGACCGTTGTCGTAACCTAGACCTTCAGTGATTGATGCATTCTCTTAAGTTGTAAGATAATATAAAATAGGCATATATTTTTATTTCTTATTTATTTGATTTACCAAGTGATTCCTATTTTAATTGGATGACATACGAGGTATTTTGGTAAGTAAGAATAATTATATGATGTGCTATTATAGATTATTTACAGACACTATGTTCCAGTGCGCTGGATTGATGACGTCCCCGAAATGAGCTGAGAAAGGAACATTATGTTAAACCCTGCAGGTAGACGATTGTCTAACATAATGGTTAAAGGCTGAGTGGTACTAATTCGGAAATGAATAAGAAGTTGATTAATTATTTTGTCAGTAATTTAATTAATCAACGGACGTTATATCTTAAACAAAGGGAGGTAAATCGATCAATCAGATTAATATTATTTAATCATGGAGGCTCGATTTTATTGGTAAAATAGTGGCTAAATGGAGAGAGCAATAATAGTACTTTAGTGGGATGTTTTGTTATTTAATTCCATTAAATAGAAATTAATTTTATTCCATATTAATTAATTAATTAGGAGAATAAAATTCCTACTTGAATCTTCTCTTGGGATTAAGAGACTTGGGAGTCTTCTAGAAGATGAAGATTAGTAGGAAATATATTTTCTACATTATATTATTAATTGGAGTAAAATTAGGCTTCCTAAATTAGGAATTGGTTTTATTCCATAGTTATTAATTTAATTAGGAAAGATATTCCTACAAGGATCTTCTCTATTGTTAGGAGACTTAGGTGTCTTTTACAAGGAGAGGATTAGTAGAAGATTTCCTTCCTACATTAAATTAGTATTGGAGTAGAATTAGGTTTCCTAGGCCTAATGGAATAAGCCCATATTTAGCACCTCCTTAAGGTCCCTAATGGAGCCTATAAATACACCATGTCCCAACCTCTCCTACAATGTTGTCTTGGCCGATTTTCTCTACTACATACGCGAGAGAATTACATCGTTCGAGAGTTAGGGAGATTCGATTAAACGCTCCACCAAGTTTAATTGAAGTAGGTGTTTAGGTAATCCGTTAGAAGGCTTTTGGGTACAATTATTCGAGCCTTTATATTCATATTTTCTGGTCATCATCATCACCTCATCGCCGCCCATCCTCCGCCGCGAGTGTTCGCCGAAAATCACTTACCGCCGCCGGAAGCCGCCCAAGCCCTGCCGATCGCAACCGCAAGCCCCGCTCGCAGTTGCGTTCAGCCAGGCACAACGCAAGCTCCCAGCAGCGACACCCAACGACATTCGCGAGTCCCCAGCGACGCCCTACGCCATCGCGAGTCGCCCCACGCCATCGCGAGTCGCCCCAGCATCCCAGTCGTCGATCGTGCACGACCCCAGCGATGCCCGACTGCTTGCTGTTCGTTCCCAATGCGCGACCGTCACGCGCGCACCATCCGAGCGCGTCCCTGCTGCCATGCCCAGCAACCCGCGTGATCAGACGCCAGCGCCAGTCCGCGGAGGCGTAGGAGTCCCAGCGCATGTCAGCGACACGCACGCCAGTGCTCGTCCGCAGATCCAAGCCACCCGCACATCACGCCAGCGCCCGACACGCACCCCCGTGAGTCCGTGACTGCTGCCCGCGTTCCACACGCTGTCTGCGCCCGACGCACACGTGTTGCTTGTTGCACCCGATGACCGAGACCCGCGTGCTGTTCAATCGTGATTCATTTGACGTGTTGATTAGAATCGACTAAAGGCCAAACCTATCCGCCCATTAGGTTGTGGTGTTCAGACGAACTTCACCAACGGTACTCTACATCGTCTCAGAGTCGACAAAAATTTTAAAAGGTAAACATCCATATCCTAACTATAGATTCTGCTGCGTTAGGATTTATTTCGATAAAGTTTAATACTGTGTATGTTGTTTGACGTTCCTAACAGAACCCAACACTGCTAAGGTTGGAGCTTAACTCACAACTGCACTAGAGTCCTTGATACTACTTAAGATTCGAAACACTTGGTTATGACGAAACCTATCTTTAGATCAATGTCCTATAGGGAAGAATTATTCCGAGATCATCTGGAATTAAACTTAACTCAAGGCTGCTCTAGAGTTCTTAATTCACTTAACTCAAAGTTGCACTAGAATTCTTATCTCAAGTAGCGTTAGGTTCAGTTAGCTAAAAAGGATCTACTTTCTAGGTAATTGCGATTATAGAAGATGTAATACCCAGTAAAGGTCCCCACCTGATATGATGAAATGCAAGATCTGAATGGTTTGCAGCTGTTGGAGGCTCGACTCTCTACAAGCTACAAAATATAATAGCACAAATTACATTCTAAGTACTTATCTTAAACTGAAAACTCGAATTATATTATCTATTCTAAGTAGTTATCTTAAACTGAAAACTCGAATTATATTATCTGAGGTGTCTAGGTTCGCTCACTTGGCTTTAAAATCATTTTAGGGATTTGCGAGCTGATTTTGAAAATTTATTGCCTTTGAGGCATTCTAGAATTCTCTGAAATATTTCTAAGTCTGGAACTAAAATATGACTTAATCTAATCTGACTGAAATCTAAATATATCTGGATCTTAAATCTATCTGGAATCTTAACTATATCTGAAATCTTAAATATATCTGAAATCTTAATCTGACTGAATTTGAAATATATCTCGAACCGTCCGGACTGACTTGACCGATTCAACTGAACTGGACCGACAGCTCACTCGGAGCTGGTCGGTCATTCGCTTGACTATGTGCAGCTCAATTTGACCGTGGTCCGAGTTCGGCGTGGCAACTCGGGTTGGCACGAACTCGATTGACACGGCTTAGCCGGTGCACGATCTTGAAACGGTGCCACGGTCACTGATGCAGGGGTGTGCTTGGACCATGGCTAACGGAACGGTGCGTAGACGGTAGGTCGGATGGACTCGGGGCACGGGCACGCACTCGGGGTTTGACTCGGACTCGGTGCACGGGCATGCACTCAGTGGTT